TCAAGTCCCACCTGCCCAGGACAGAATGAGTAATGTGTATGAATTTTGCCTGTTTCAACTCAACAAAAATAGGTGAAAGCCATTCATGAGTTAATTTCTCAGGGCAATGTCTTGAACAATAAGAGTCAATCTGCCTGGTTTATATCATAGATCATAGAATCCCTACAGTGTGGAAACAGGCCCTTTGGCCCAACAAGTCCACACCGACTCTCAGAGCCTCCGACCTAGACCCATCCCCCTATAACCCACTTAATCTACACATCACTGGACACTATGGGCAACTTAGCATAGCCAATCCACCTAGCCTGCACATCTTTGGACTGTGGGAGGAAACCAGAGCACCCAGAGGAAACCTACACAGATATGGGGAGAATGTGCAAACTCCACGCAGACAGTCACCCGGGATTGAACCCAGGTTCCTGGCATTGTGAGGCAGCAGTGCTAACCACTGAGCCACCATTTTTTAACTTTTAAAAACACTGGTAGTTAACACTCAGTTACCATAATCTGGTACATTCTCCATGGTAATTATGGTCCATTTGCCAACTAATCAGCACTTATAAATGTTTGTTTTCCCTTAAAATTATAAGCTTGCAAATTGTCCTGATGAGTGAAAGAAGAAAAGTTTTGACAAAGTACTTCTTTTCTCAGCAATACTCAGGTTCTGTACAACCAAATGACTAATACTTATTTATTTAGATTTTGAGGCCTTTTGCAAAATGACCTTTCATTAAAGAGACACTGCTTTTAAGATACAAAGTGTCTGCCAGATGCATGACAGAACAATAGATATTGCATTGAGATAATATTGTTGCATTGCCTGAAGTGGGGTGTCATGACAAAACTAACAGTATCCTTACGATGACAAAATGGGAGAAATGCCAGAAATAACAGTGAGATCTTCAAAAGAAGATGTGGGTTATTGCTTCAACTAAGATCCTCATTGCAAACCTTCCAGCTTTCTCTCTTCAAAGGGAAACAATGAGGCATGGTCAAACATAACCTCATTAAACTGGTGTCCCTTTAATAATGAAATATTAAACAACCAAGCACAACTTTCAGTGAGGAAATTTTGACAATATTATTCATCTTATAAATTTTAGAATTTTCAAAATGATAATGAAACTTTATTCTGATTTCCATTTTTTCTTGAATTAACTTACGCTCATTTTTTTAAATTCACTGAATTTTTCACTCTTTCCCTGGCTGCCCTTTATCATTCCATTTGTTAGGGTGAGCAATTTTACATTCTCCTTTTACCTGTAAGCACCCAGAGCTATTGTTTGTTGCAATACCAGGTTAAACAGCCACTAGCCATCTCACTGTAATCAGAGATCACCCCTGTGGTCGTCTAGAACTATGGCAACTTTACATCTGCTGGTTTGATTAACTCCTAACTGCTTTACTTTTACTCAGACAAGTTGATGTCAATAAATAACACATGTTAAATGTGAGTTAAAAAACACATTTTTCTGTCCCCATACAGGGTTGGGATGATCTTCCTCATTGGTTAATCGTCTGTGTAGAAGAAAATGTCAACTAACGTGACTTATGATGGTTCTTTCAACTTTTTATTTGCTTCACTGGCAATCTTATTAATGTGTTAAGGCTGGCTGGTTTGCAGAAACAAGATAAGAACATTCTGCTTTACAGTTGATTTTCAAGGTTGAATGCAGGGTCCATGATTAAAACTGTTCCATTTCATGTACTGTTGTTGAGCAGGACCCTGTGATTCCAACAGTTCTAATTTTAGTTTCTGGATTTATATTGCTTCTGCCTATTGATAGGCAGCTTTCCATCTTACATTTAAAGTGTCAACATGAACATTAGTCAATGCCTTCAGGGTGACTGCTTTCAATGTAAATGGCCAACCACTGATGCAAATCTTGTTAGCAAACTATCCAAAACTACACTAATGTTCCTCCCTCTCTCCCATTATTGAAGCCCCTTATATTAGAAGGCCACTGCCTGTCTGAGAAAAGACAAACTTTTCTCAATGGAAGTGACTACTATATAGCAATAGGCAGTTCACTGTTCTCAACTTACAGCCTACTGATTTGGAGCTAATGGTAGAATTGCTTGATTTACTGCAAAACATTGCAATATCTGCACTTTCTGCTAGCACCTGTTTTTACATTCTTTCCTACTTATGATGGAGGCATGGTCCTCTGAGTGCTAACAGTCATCTCATGCCAACTGACAATTCTTTATTTGTTGATTTTGATGGCAGGCTTGTCATTAGCTGTAGGAGTCTCCTCTAATGTTTCCCAACAATAGTCATTGGATGGTAGGAACTCTTCTTAATTTTTTTCACTCTTCAGCTTAGAGGTGCTGTGTTGGGTCTCAATGTTTATGCTGAGGAATACCAAGAGCATCTTATGATGTCATGTGCACTTGTGGACACAACAACTGAGGATCTCAAAGGACTGCGACCTAACCTTGGTTCTCCTCAAAGGCTCTATAACAACAACCAAGTCAATGTAACCTGTGACTAATTACTAACATGATATTGGACATTTCTAGTTGAACCAGCAAGTAGTTTTTCTCTACTGCACTAAACTGGTCTTGTAGTTTCTTACACTCAAACCGTGTAATGGTAGCCTTCATCATGAGCAGCAACACAGTGAGCTGGTATATGCATACAACAGTCACAGCTAAACAAAAAAGACAGGCTCAAAAATGGGATCTTTGTGAGCTACAGTGCCTACTATTGTATCAATTAATCTTATAAAAACAGGAGAAAGCCACCTTTAAGCTCAACTCTATTTATCTTCCTTTGATCCATATCCCTTGGTGTAAAAATCTGTAAATTAGTTGTACAAGTGAGCTATTTGGCCCTTTAAGCCAGTTTTGCCATTCGATAAGATCATGGCTGATCTGTTTCATTTCGAACATCATATTCACATCTACTCCAAATAACCTTTGACTCTTTCATTTAAATCTGTCTACATTTGCCTTAAAAATATTCAATGATACCACGTCCATTACCTTCTGAGGCTGGGAGTCAAACCCCTCAACTCTGAGAAAAACTTGTAATTTTTGTCCTAAAAGGGTGACTTCTAAGAGTGACTCCAAGATCTGGAGTTACCAAGAGGCAAATACCGTTCAAAACCTTGCATACATAATCAAGTCACTGCTCAATCTTCTAAACTCCAGTGACAACAAGGACAGCCTGTCCAACCTTTCCTTGTAACAAAATCCATTCATTCCAGATATCAATCACTAATGGACCTCATCTTAATTGCCATCAAGGGCATTATATCCTTCCTTAAATAAGGAGATCAAAACTACACGCGGTATTCAAGATTTAGTCTTTATCAATCTGCTGTTTAACTGAAGAATAACATCCTTACAGTTATGTTCAATTCTTCTTATAAAAAGGATTGTATCTTTTTCATCTTCTTGACTATGTGCTGTATCTGCATACTAATATTTTGTGACTCATGTACTAGAACACCTAAACTCCTTTGCACCTCGGAATTCTGCAGTTGTTCTCTGTTTAGGTAATACTCTTTTTATATTCTTCCTGCCAAGTGAACAAGTTCATATTTTTCTGTATTATGCTGCATCAACCGGATGTTTGCTTAATCACTCAACCCATCTACATTGGTCTCCAAACCCCTTATGTCCTCTTCAAAACATATTTACCTCCCTATATTTTTGTCATCTGCAAATTTAGTTACCAGGCCTTTGTTCCCTTCAATTAAGTCTTTGACATAAATTCATAAATCGCAAACAGTTGTGGCTTCAGCACAAATCCCTGCAAACCTCACTGGTCACAGAAAAGACTAATTTATGCATATTCTCTGTTTTTTGCCAACCAGCCAATTTTCTATGTCAAATCCCTTTTAGAAATCTACATATAGCACATTAATAGTCTTTGCCTTATTCACAGTGCCAGTTAGTTTTTTCAAACAACTCCAATAAATTGGTTAAGCATTATTTCTTTTTCATGAAACCATGCTGATTCTTTTTAATTCTCTTGAATTTTTCTAAGTGCCTAGCTATAACGGTCTTGATGATCAATTCTAACACATTCCCATGACAGACATCTTGCTAACCGGCCTGTAATTTCCTTTACAAAAATCTATCTCTCTGTCTTGGAAATTCCAATTTTTTTGAGTAACAACAACACTTTAGGAGGGAGAGTTTCAGATTTCTACTAACATTTTCTTATGAAAATCTATCCAATAAATTGCCATATTTTTGGGAGAAATATTGTAAATAAGTGGTTATGTGCAGAGGAGGATCATAATCCTTTGATGCAGCACTTTCCATTTCCAATCAAGCTTCTGCATTACTATAAATCAATGTGGAGCATTTACATCTACAGAATATATATTGTTATAGATTTATGGGGGAGACACTTACTATGACTACCAACTTTAACTCTGTTTGTAGACACACAAAGCAGAACTGAAGTCATTTTGAAAAAGCATGTATCTTTGAGGGTCCTTTTGCTAGCAATTTATGAAACACCAGTCACCTATAATCTGTACTGGTCCTGTTTTAGGAAGTTGTTTTACAAATATAGGAGTAGATTTGTTATCATGTCTTCAAAGTTCGGAGTAATAAACATGTTGCATTGAAAGTCCTTAAAGCTTTTCTCTTTAACTCTAATAAAGTGCAAGTACCTCTTAGCATTCACTTTCTAGTTACTGTGCAAAAGCACAGTGCAAAAATAAGTTTTAAGTTTTTAAAATGCACAACACTAATTATGGAATGATGGATATAGTCAGCATCATGACATTTGACCTTGACTGTGAGAAAGCATATCATCCACCTCAAGCTCAGTTTCAATATTACATTATGTTTTTCCCTTGTGCTCATGTTGTCTATCATTATCTCATTGAAACTATGATAATCTGCATTGATCTTTAACTAAAATTATTTAGTGCTGTCTTTGGTGATTTTTTTTATTTGCATGCGTTCTGAATTGCAGAAAGACTTGCTTATTTTAAAGCCACAATGTACTAACTGATTTGCATGCATTCCAATAGGAAACGCACCCAAACAAACAAGACTTTTGTGAGTTCCCAGCGTAAAGAAACACACAGGAGGAATGTCATGGATAGGAGCTCCACTGACCAGTGCACCCTGCAAGAAACACTTAACAGCAGCAGATGTAAGTTATTCAGAAGGGTAACATCTATTATAAATCCTTTTTATCTCTAGACATTATTTGTAGGAAAATATCTTCCCTGCACTCTGGTAATTTTCTTCATGAAGGACCATATGCTTTATATAAAGAATACAGTTCTCAATGATGCAGTGAACTGCCCGTTATTGTGGAATACTTACCTGATCTAGATGCAATATAAGGTGCTTGCATTGAAACAACCATCTGAAAATATTACAGGAGCAAGATTGCAAAGCTCCCCAAAATGGAAGCAGGGTGAGCTCAGTCAATGTAATACAAGCAGCATACCATCTCACACGCTACCTGGTTATTTGATATGGCAATATGGCATCTGGCGTGATTTGCCCTAAAAATGTGCATGTAAGCCATGGACACCACTTTGTTGCTTTCAAGACGCTTTTAGTTCATGGAAGATTTGATGTTCAAAAGCCCAGTTACTCATCATTCAGCTTTTATAAGTGTCATGTACTTGACATAATGATAGCGTAGCCTGTCTGTTTTGTTTTGCGCATGTTCAAAATTGTAACTGAGTTACATCTGGCCTATTGCGATGAAGGTTTGTAATATAATATGATTTGGGAACTTGGGTTCTATCGTAGAGATAAACGTGTGTTTGGCTTTTAATTCTATGAAGTTACCTTTTTTTTTAAAGAGTCAGAAACTCAATGTTTTAGCCTTGCGTCAAAACATGAGAAGCCATATGACTTGGGAATTCCCTCCCTAATGGTAGTTTTCCACCACCTTCTCAAGGGGAACTAGGAACAAGCAATAAATGCTGGCCAGTGATGCCCACATCCCATAAGTGAATTTTAAAAATCTGAAGATATGTGTAGACAAGGTACCTGGTGAGATAATTGCTGAAGAGTTTGCTAAGTTGATTTTTTACCACCCAGAAAGAGCAGGTTCAGTTCAGAAGAAATCATCCATACCAGCAGATGTGGTGTTTGGCTGCCCCAGAGTAGTCAGAATAAGTGGAAAAAGCTTTAAGTTTTCTTTTCTGAGAGATCAGTGAGAAAAAATCAATGAGTTACTGAGTCTTTGCATCTCAAAGAGAGAGGAAGAGAATACATCTGGTAAATATGCAGAAAGTTAACGAAAAGAAAAGCTTGCAAGTTCATCAGTTGAGGAAGAGATTAAAGAGTAAAGACAGGAGTGAGACTTTGCTAAAGTTGAGTGTCTGTCCGTAAAGGATATTGCTGGTAAAAAGCTAAGTTTTTTGTCATTTTTCCATATTGTCTTTATATTTGGCTTTTAAATTTTCATTAAAATTATATTGGCAACCTAATGTGAATATATTCAGTGACAATTGAAGCAACCAAATTGTAAAACTAAAATTTATGTTAATACTGGAAAAGAGATTACAGTCTGAAATCTCACATGATAGACCATAATAAATAATAACAATGTAGGGGATCCTGGTGGATACCTATGATATCTCACACTGGCAGTTATATATGGGGTCATATTGTCTTACAAGAATCATCTTATCTATCATTCCTTATGATTTTATAAACCTCTGAGGTCACACCTCAACCTCCTTTACGCCAGTGAAAAAGTCCCAGCGTCTCCTTTATAAATCAACCCCTTCATCCCTGGCAACATCCTGGTAAATCTCTTCTGAATCTACTCCAGCTTAGTGATATCCTTCCTGTCGCAGGGTGATCAGAACTGGACACAGTATCCTAGAAGAGGCTTCACGAACATTCTGTATGACCTCAACATAATATCACAACTCCTATACTCAAAGGTCTGAGCAATGAAGGCAACCATCCTAAACCCCTTCTTAACCACCTTATCTTTATGTGATGCAAACTTCGAAAAATTGTGTACCTGAACCCCTAGGTCTCTTTGTTCAACAACACTGCCCAAGGCCCTAATTTTAATTGTATAAGTCTTGCCGTTGTTTGTTTGACCAAAATGCAATACCTTGCTTTTATCCAAAATAAACTTCATTTGCCACTCTTCAGCCGGTTGATCCTGTTGATCAGGATCTCTTTATAATCTGAGCTAACCTTCTTCACTCTCCACTTTACCAATGATCTTGGTGTCATCTGCACACTTATTAATTATGCCTTCTATATTCTCATCTAAATAATTTATATAAATGACAAACAAAAGTGGATCCAGCACCACTGTGAAATCCTGTGAACACCACTGATAACAGGCCTCCAATCTGAAAAGCAAGCCTGTCCCATCACACTGTCTCCTGCCGTTAAACCAATTTTAATCCAATTAGCAAGATCACCTAAATCCCATGTGATCTAACTTTACTAATTAGTCTACCATGTGGGATCTCATCAAAGGCTTTACTAAAGTCCAAATAAACAATGTCTATCACTCTGCCCTCATCCAATCTTGGTTACTTGCTCAAAAAACACAATCATGTTTGTGAGACACTATTGCCCTCACACAAAGCCATGCTGACTATCCCTAATCATTCCTTGCCTCTCTAAATGCATAGAAATCCTATCTTTCAAAATCACCTCCAGCAACTTACCCACCACTGAAGTCAGAGCCACTCTCCAGTCATTCGGCACCTCACCCAAAAATTATAGCTGATACAAATATTTCTGCAAAGAGCTTCGCAATTTTCTCCTGAACTTCCCAAAAAGTCCTGGGATATACTAGATCAGATCCTGGAGATTAATCCACCTTTACATTTTTTAAGACCTCCTGCACTTCCTCATCCGTAATGTGAACTGTTTTCAAAACATCAATATTTATTTCTGAGTTCTCTAGCCTCCACTTCTTTCTCCACAGTAAAAACTGATGCAAAATATTCACTTAATATCTTTCCCATCTCCTGATTTTCAATACAAAAATGACCTCTTTGATCTTCAAGAGGCCCTACTTTCTGTCTAGTTGTTGTCTTGCTCTTAAGGTACAGTCAGTTCTGATAATGTGATTGCGTCTCCATCACTTTATAGACAGATTACTTAAATAGTTTCAAAATATATTGTTTTGCACATATATAGGATTGTCTCTTGATTGATTTTCTGAAAGCATCAATCAATGCCTTTTCCAGTTCACTCTGAGAAAGATTCTATAAAGCTTAACTTTGTTTTTATTCTCTGATCTTCCAATAGCCTGATAATGGCAGATGAGGCAGGGGACTTTCAAATCTTCATGCTGCAGCATTGACAGTCAAACTCCTTTTCTCAGAATCCCCCAGTTCAAAATATTCTGGTCCCTCCTTCTGTTTGACCACCATGTTCTCTCCCAGGTTGGCTGGCACCAATTCCAAAGTACTGACCTCATTAATGGCCAAGCACCAACTATTTAGTTAAGCACATTGCCACTTGAGAGTTGAAGAGTCTATAAAGTTCATTGATCAAGCTGAACTTGACTTCTAGACCTGGCCTAAAGAGCAAATAACAGCTTGTTTGTTCTCTTTTTAAAAACAAGCGGCTGTTAACAGTCCAAAGGTCACTTTCAGTTCTCAACTCAGTTCCAAATCAAAACAACAAAAAATTAAAATTAAAACAATGAAAAATCAGCCAGTGTTCAAGATTAGATGTTACACCACTGTGACAGAGCCTTTAGACCATCAACTGCTCCTGTCTCCATTGTCTTCCCCCTTAACTGTCTTGTTAGATGCTACCCTCATGAATGATAGCCCCTGACAGCTATCCCATGGTTACTTTTCTCATCAATGGCACCTCAGATGAACATTTGGGAATAAACAATTTTTATATGCATACTTTATTGTCCACAATCTCAAACAGCATTGAAAAAGGTGTCATCAATATTTAAAAACTGCTTCTTGACTAAGCAACAATGCCCTCTTGCTTGACATAAAGGAATTCGCCTTGAGTCCACAGGTTCTATCATTTTGAACTGATCTACAGACTTGAAGTGTGACAATCTTTTAAATTAACCAAAGAAAAGAATTACAAACCAAATTTCAAAAGCTTAACTTCTGACCTATTGTCATAAGTTTCCTAGAGAAACTAACAAAAGCAGTCAGATTGGTGAAAAGCTTTTCAAAACTCTTCTTTTTGTAAACAATAAAAATTCAAGCAGTTAAAAAAAAGGCCAAAGCTTGGAATGAGATAACAGAGTGGAGCTGGAGGAACACAGCAGGCCAGGTAGCATCAGAGGAGCAGGAAAGCTGATGTTTCAGGTCAGGACCTTTCTTCAGAAATGGGGAAAGGGGAAGGGAGCTCTGAAATAAATACAGAGGAGGGTGGGGCTGGGGAAGGTACATGGGATGGTGATAGGAGAGTACAGGTAGGCAGTGGTGGAGATTGGTCAGTGAGGTGGGAGGAGCGGATAAGTGGGAGAGAAGATGGACAGGTTGTCAGGTCAAAGAGGCGGGAATGAGAGGGAGGGAGGAGGAACTGCAGATGCTGGAGAATCCGAGACAACAAGGTGTAGAGCTGGATGAACACAGCAGGCCAAGCAGCATCAGAGGAGCAGGAAGGCTGACGTTTCGGGCCTAGACCCTTCTTCAGAAATGGGGGAGGGGAAGGGGGTTCTGAAATAAATAGGGAGAGAGGGCGAGGCGGATAGACGATGGATAGAGGAGAAGATAGGTGAAGAGGAGACAGACAGGTCAAAGAGGCGGGGATGGAGCCAGTAAAGGTGAGTGTAGATGGGGAGGTAGGGAGGAGATAGGTCAGTCCAGGGAGGACGGACAGGTCAAGGGGGCGGGATGAGGTTAATAGGTAGGAGATGGGGGTGGGCTTGAGGTGGGAGGAGGGATAGGTGGGAGGAAGGACAGGTTAGGGAGGTGGGGACGAGCTGGGCTGATTTTTGGATGCGGTAGGGGGAGGGGAGATTTTGAAGCTTGTGAAGTTCACATTGATACCATTGGGCTGCAGGGTTCCCAAGTGGAATATGAGTTGCTGTTCCTGCAACCTTCGGGTAGCATCGTTGTGGCACTGCAGGAGGCCTAGGATGGACATGTTATCTGCGGAATGGGAGGGGGAGTTTAAATGGTTCGCGACTGGGTTTAGTGCAAACTGAGCGTAGGTATTCTGCAA